CTCTCTCTCTCTCTCTCTCTCTCTCTCTCTCTCTCTCTCTCTCCCCTGACACCAGCCCACCCACTTGAAAAAAAAAAAAAAAGCAAAGGGCTGGGGAGATGGCTCAGTGCAAATATTAGGACCTGGGCTAGGATTCCCAGCACCCATTTAAAAAGCCAGACATGGTGGCACAAGTTTGTAACCCTAGTAGGAGGATAGAATAGGTGGCAGACATAGGCAGATCCCAGAGGCTTGCTGACTAGCCAGTTTAGCCAAAATGGCAAGCTCAAGGTTCAGTGAGGAATTTTGTCTTAAAACTAAGGTAAAGAAGCAATTGAGGAAGACATTTATCAGCCTCTAGCCTCCACAAACACCACATGGATAAGTGCCCCTACACACACACACACACACACTCACTCAATCAATCAATCAATCTCTCTCTCCCAGTCTCTATACACACACACACACACACACACACACGGCAAAAGGCACACCCCCATGCCCAAACATCTCAGTTTTAAAATATGGAGAATTTGCTTTTGATCTTCTATTTTTAAGACAGAATCTCTCTATAGCCCAAGTTGGCCTTGAACTCACAATCTTCTGTCTCAACCTTCAAATAGCTGTAACATATGTGTGTGTCACCACATCCAGCAAAAGCTAGAACTTAATTCATTTACATTATGATTTCTGAATAAGTCATGATTGACTCTACTAAAATGCAATGCTCAGTAAAATACTGACAATCGATAATCATAATAATTCCTAAACATCAAAGATTTCTTTTTTTAAATTTTATTTATTTATTTTTTGATCTTTTGCAAACAGGATCTCCCTATGGCCCCAGCTGGCCCAAAACTTGCTATGTAGACCAGGCTGGCCTTGACCTCACAGAGATTTGCTTGCCTTTGCCTCCCAAGCGCTGGGATTAAAGGCGTGCGCCACTATACCTGGCTGCTTTTTTTTTTTTTTTTTTTTTAAATAAACACTAACAAGAACTTTTCTACTCTGAATAGGCTATCATTTCTAATAGCATGTTATCATTTAACTGCTTCTACAAAGTATTGTTAATTATTGCTCTAACTTGTCTGGAAATCTAATCTTTCCAATCCCATTACAAACTAAGAATAAAAATTGTTGGATGGTGGGGCCAAATATGAGTGATAACACCTGGCCTACCTCACCTGTTCTTCTTTAAGTCTAATTTATAGAAATTATAATATTCTCATCTAGACAGGACCTCTTTGCTTATATGTAGCCAAGATGTTATTTTGGTGCCTGCTTAGGCCAGCTGGCCTTCCCTGTGCAACTAGAGGTTAGAAGCACAGGCTCTGGAATCAGACCAATTAGTTCAAATCCCAGTTTGCTACTTATGAGCTCTGTAACGCTGGTAAGTTACTTATCTTCTCTAAGCACTTTACATGAATTAGTTCATTTAATCTGCATAACAACCCTATGAGATGTGATTTCAATTATTATACTCATTTCATAGATGAGGAAATTGAAGCACAGAGATGTTAAGTAACATGCTCATGGTTTCAAGGCCAGTATATGGAAGAGTCAGATCTCAAGCTTTGACAGTTACTCCACAGCCCGTGTGTGCCCCTTCTGCCTCTGCATACAAACTGCTCAATAGTGTCCAACAAGAGTTAATGTTAGTAGTACAATTGCTATTAGTAAGGATTCTTCTCTTTATTCTGACCACGAAGAGCCAGGTAAGGAAAGATGACAAAGCCCCTTGCCAAACAAAACAACCAATGTATATGACCATGTTTGATACTTTCTACTTTGTAATGGTTTTAGACTTAGAGAAAAGTAAAAATAATAGTAGCTCACAATCACTTTTACTCAGCTCCCAAAGATTGACAACTTACAATGTTATTAACAAAATTAGGAATTTACATTAGTATATTATTAACCACACTATAGACATTACTCAAATTTCCCCATTTTTTACCATGGCATCCTCTCTCTTTTCCAGGATCCTGTCTAGGGCCCCATATTGCACCTACTTCCTGTTTCCTTAGTTTCATGAATCTATGTTGGTTCTTCATTCTTCCTGGCTCTCTCATTCCTGAGACCCTTCTGAAGAGCACTGTTCACCTGTGGAGTGTCTCACAATCTGGATTTGGATGTTTTGCGGTAAAACTGAGATTAGGCTTTTTCGGCAAGAGTATCTCAAATGATGTCATGTCCTTCTACTGAACTACTTAAAGACAGAGGAATATATTTATGTTGTATTGCTGGTGGTAATTCTGAGCTGTTCATTAAGGTGGTATCTGATGGATTTCTCCATTGTAAAGTTATTCTTTTCAACTGATAAGTATTTTAGGAGAGATTCTTTGAGACTATACAAATATATTGTTTTTCCTCAAACTTTTTAATTTTGGGGGGTGGGGTGGGGGGAGAAAGGACCTCACTGTGTAGCCCTAGCTGGCTAGAACTCACTATATAGATAAGGCTAGCCTTGAACTCACAGAAATCTGCCTCTGCCTCCCAAGTGCTGGAATAACAGGTATGCACCATCACACCCAGCTCTTCTGAAATTCTGCCCATTATTTTAGCATCTATTTGTGGGACTTGCCTGCAAAATGTATTGCTGTGGAGCTGGCTCAGGGGTAAAGTGCTTGCTGTGCAAGCCTGAGGTTTAGGAGCCCTAGAACCCACATAAAAGCTGGGCATGGTGCTGTACCTGTAAGTGGAGTTGGGAGGCAGGGAGGGGAAACAGGTAATAGGGTCTTGCTAAACAGCCAGCCTATCCAAAATTGCAGGAAGTAGGTTTGTTAAGAGACCCTGTCTCAAAAAATAAGGTAGAGGGCAACAGAGGAAAACACCTGATATAGGCATCTAGCCTCCATGCATGCACATACTTTTTTTTTTTTTTTTTGGTCTTTTTGAGACAGGGTCTCCCTGTAGTCC